TTCAACGTTCCGTCCATTAACTGAAAACAGGCTAGAATAATCGATCCTTGGGATGCTGCTCCCCGCCCCCTTTTCCAGAATAGAGCTTGTATCTGCTAAAAACATCTGTTTTGGTTCTGATTATCATGTTTATTGGGCTGAAATCATGCGTTTTAAACTTCAGATAAAGGGTTTTCTGAGTGCACGCATCTGAAGCACACGCACAGAAAGCGGCTGTCACAGCATGTGAGCACTAGACTAAGTTCTCATTCACACACAAGTTTACGTTAAAAACACACATGAGTTACATAAAACAGTGGGTTATGTCTGTGAAGGTAAACCGCTGGGAAATAAATTGCATGTTTATTTTAGATCTGTGTGGCAGCAGCAATATACAGTAAATAAATCAATAAATGCACTACTTTCTTGTCTGCTCTGAGACTGGGACTGTAAACAGTGTTCTGTGCTCATCTCTGCAGCCAAACACAGAACAGTTAGCATGTTTTGCTCAGACTTTCGCCATGGTACACCGTTGTCGCTTGCGAAATCAAAATGACGGTGCCTTGAGTGGAAGTTTACAGATTAAGGGGCGGTAATATTATAATGAGATCCCTTTGCCACGTCACCAAGGGAGCGAAATCAGACACGCTGGTTTTCTCAGATGTTTGCAGAAAAAAGCTTCCCAAAACAAAGTGACTGTGTTAATCTTTTTCACGTTTGCTTGGTTGGTAGATGCACCGGGGACCTGATTATAGCACTTAAAACCTGGAAAAGTCAGATTTTCATGATACGTCACCTTTAAGAATCGATATCGTTCCGTAAAATTGAGAATCGATTAATATCAAGATATCGATATTTTTGACCCAGCCCTAATGTTTACTATCTCAAACATCATTCAAAGCATCTCAGCTTGTCAACAGTCCTTCTTAAATTTGTGCACCTCCTATATCTGATCACATATGTGCATGAAGTCTAAAAGTGGAATATCAAAAGCTTCACTATAACATCACATCACCACAATTCTGCATGAGGTGAGCAGCAGCAGCAGCAGCATGAGAAAAGTGCTCAGTAGGCGTCTGGCCTTCTCTCTGGAAGAAAGAAACACTTCTAAGGGAAGGTGGAGGGGTGAAGCCCAGCGGACGTGTGTAATCTCAAGCTGAAGGCTGCTAAGAAAACATGTGACGCGCGGTTCCTCTTCCTTCCTCTCTTTCACCATAGAAACCCAGTGAACAAATGACCATTCCCGAACAAGACTCAAGAGGAGTCTGAAGACTTAATGCTCGTTTTAATTTATGTAACACACGGCCTTGAGTGTCTTATTCCTTCTACAAAAACAGACACAGAAATATGTTCAAATAACAAAACAATGAACACAAGAGTGAATAAACAGCTCAATTAACTAACAAACAATTCTTCGGACAAGAAATAGAGTAAACTCTCAGTGTTCGTGGTTCTTTTTTAATATTTAAAAGAATATTTGAAACATTTATTTAAATATTAAATACTGTAAATATTGTTTATAATAAATTATGTTTACTATTTAATTTTTATTTAAATATTACCATTTTCTATTGCAATTTGAGTAAATATTAAGTAAATTATTTTACACAATATTCACTGATATTACAATCAAAAGTATTATAATTATTTTTTTTAATTTAAATATTTCCAATTGCAATTTAAGTAAATATTGTGGACAAATAAATTTTTTACACCATATTTATTACCAATATTACAGCCAAAAGTATTAGTTAATTTTTTTTAATTTATTTAAATATTTCAATATATTCATTTGCAATTTGAGTAAATATTGTGTACATATAAATTATTTTACACAATATTTAGCAATATTACAATAATCTTTATTTTTTATTTAAATATCCAAATTTATTTACAATTTGAGTTAATATTGTGTACAAAAATATTTTACACAATACTTACTAATATTTCAAAAATATTGTATTTACAACAACACTTTTAATTGCAGTTTGACTAAATATTATATACAATCATTGTTTACACAGTGTTTACTTATAAAAAGTATTATCTTTCATTTTAATCTATTCATTTATTTACTTACATTTTTAATTGCAAATATTGTGTACAATAAATTCTCTTTACATTTACAAAATGTATTAAAAGCATTATATTTAATTTTTATTTATTTATTAAAATATTAAATAATTAAATATTTTAATTGCATTTGAGTAAATATTGTCTGCAATGAAATACTTATATTACGCTCAAAAGTATTTGAAAACAGAAAGTGCATAACATTCAACTTAACAACTGCCCTATCATTATTTGGGCCAACAGACTTCATTTACAAAACACACAAAAACCAACCATCCAAAGCTATTTGATCAACTCAAAATGATTTCTAAAAATCCCTTTTCGAACCAAATCAACCCCAAAATCTCCTACCTTCTCCCAGCACCATGTCCTTTAGTTTCTCCACAGCCTCTGCGAAGCGGGCGACGTCTCGCAGCAGCGAGGGAATGTCCTCCACCTCGATGACCGATGTTTCCGCAGACTCCGCCGCATGTCCGTAGGTGAGAGCGGCCCGCACGTAGCCCTTATGGAAGCCCCAGGTCCCTGACGTCTGGAAGGCGAAGCCGGCGGCGCTGGCGTGACGGCTGAGACCCGAGGGCCGCTTCTGCGTGCCGACAGGTGAACTGCACACTGCTAGCTTGGAGTGGGAGGACGGTGTTCCCGGGCAGGATAAGGGGCCCGAATCAGGAGGAGCCAGCGTGCAGGGGCCATCGATAGTGTCATTGGCAGTGTATTCCTGAAGGATGGACAACTGGGTTTAACATGGGATGGAAAGAGAGGGATGGAGCGTGAATGACGGCTGATTATTATAGAGATGAATATTATGAACAGGGTTAATGCTACATGTGAAATAGTGTTATGAAGATGGTGGTCAAAGTGCAAAGGTGATTGAAAGTGTGTCTAGTTTAAGACAGATCTACAAATACAGTCTGATTTATTTGTTTATTATTTAACGCGGTGATATCAGCAGCAAAGCCTATTTAATGACAAACATAGAGTATCAGAAATTCAGATCATTATAATAACAAAAAACCTAAAAAAATAAGTGTTGTTTTAGTATCCTCAAGATGCTATTATAGGTTTTATTAATATTCTGAATAGGTTTGAAAATTGAATTAATGCTATATATTTAATTAATAACATTTTAATATTTAATTGTAATGGTTTTAATGTGTTTTTGCCATTTTTTATAGTTTGCCAATATAGATTTTATTCATTTTATTTTAGATTTAATTTTAGTACATCACTAAACTGAATTAATCTAGCTGAAATTTTTTTTTTAAATATTTTATTTAAATCATATTTTTCATGGTTTTAGTTTTAATCAACTACAAAACCCCCAGCAATAAATATATAAATTATACAAAAAAGCTCTTACAGTTTCATATCTAGTCTGCTCACACTCTTAAAGGTTCTTCAACAGCTCTTAGGTTCAGGAGTGAACCCTTTTATTTCTTTCTTCGATGAAATACAAAAGTAAATGTTTAGCACAATGTTCACACTGATCTTTAAATTGAGTCATTATTCACTGACAATCAGAGTGAACATTATTCAGAATTACCACTTTTGTTCTGCACAGAAGATATAATAAATGCATAAATGATGCAGCTTTGAAGGTGAGAAATTGACAGAATTAATTCTTTACTGCATCTTAAAGGGACAGTCCACCCAAAAATGAGCGTTGTGTCAATTAACTCACCCCAAGTTGTTACAAACATGTTACGAACATAAAATGAGATTTGAATCATTTAAAAAATGTCTCTGTGTAGGTCAATGGGGTCCAATATCTTCTTTTGTAGAGGTTTGGACTGAGTGAATGATGATAGAATTTTTATTTTTGTGTATCTCTTTAAGTTCTCTTGTTATCAAGAATCATTTTGACTGAGTTCAACCATATGGTTTCTATGGAGATTCAAGAAAGTAATTACAGGTTCTTCAGATCAGTGAATTGCATCATGAAAAAGTGAAGCCCTTCTGGGTTCAATTCTATTCTTGTTTCCATCTGGAGCTGCTGCTTGTTCTGATATGACTCTTGCATGACTTCCTCTCAGTTCATTTCTGGTATAATTGTTTGCGAAACAAAGAGCAAGACGTACTTCTTAAGTGTTCTTCGCCAGGCACTGTTCAGTAGTTACAGTTTTACAGTCAGTGAGCAACAATGTGCAACATTAAACAATTACACTTCAATACCGATTCGCGAACTGAGCCGATTCTTTTAAATGACTCGGTCGAACCGACTCGCAGACTTAAACCGCTCGACTGTTGTGATCCGGTTCACTGAAATGAATCATCCGAACAAACCAATTCGCTACAATGAATCGCTCTTCCCACACATGTCCAAAACCTACAAAGAAAATAGTACTTTTACTCTATTAAACATATTTTTTTGTGAACTACTTGATGAAAGCAATAGGATGAATGTGAACCCAGTTTAAAATAAAGCACATGTTGTAAACGCGTACGTTTTCTGGGAGATTTAACATGTTTTCTCGTTTAAACACGTTTAATGTAGTAGAATCTAACTCTAAAAAACAAACTAATTTTTTTTTTTTTTTTTGACTTTCCTCAGAAGTACTACTGTTGGTCTTACCCAAGGGTTTTGCGCAGAGTTGCTCTTTTTGGAGGCTGAAGGTGTTTTATTCGTCGGCTCCTTCTTCTTTCGAGAAAACATGTTCACGCCGTCTGCTCTAGCTCAAATATCGCACCGCAGAACTTTAGGAATGAGACAAAAAGTTGTGAAAATGTCTCATCAGGCTCTTCTGCGACTGACAGTCACTTCCCCATCATGACAGTTCAGCTACTGCGCGTGCGCTCTTCCTGCTGCTGGGTCGCGAGAGCCGCTAAACAAACACGACAGTTGTTGAAATTCAGATGTGACTCAAGCACAGGTGTGACGCCTCTAACATGATTAGTCGATCTAAGACTTTTTATTAACTGATATAAAATGTGCATTAATTAAATTAATAAAAAATCATTACAAATGTGCATGTGATATGTAAATATATCTAAGTCGACAAATTTAGACCGTTTACAGTGATGAGATGGTAATACAGAAGCAGAATGTTTTGCATATTCATATATTCTATGGTATTACCATGCTACTCCAGTGCCAAGTTTATGCTGCAAGGGTGGCACAGAAGCGCTTCTGAAGTGGCATTTAGGTGTCTTTACACAGACTGTTTAATTATAACTGCATACTTCGATATTAGGGGTTAAGCAGGAAAACTTTAGTCTGGCTTTTATGCAGCATTGTATTTCTACACTGAATTTTTAGCAGGCACAGAGCAGCCTTAACTCGACATGTTCATATTCTAAGAAATTTCTTGGTTAATGCCTCACCTAGTAGTTTTACCCTGTAAAAACACTCATGCCAAATTTACACTACAAAGGTAACACAGAAACACTTTAGGTGTCTGCAGTATTAACATGGCATTTCCTATGCCAAATTTACACTACAAAGGTGGCACAGAAGCGCTTCTGAAGTGGCATTTATGTGTCTTTACACAGACTGTTTAATGTTGCTCAGAGCTGGCATAAATGCTTTACACAGCAATTATAAATGCATACTTTGATATTAGGGGTTAAGCAGGAAAACTTTAGTCTGGCTTTTATGCAGCATTGCATCATTACACTTTTTTTTTTTTTGAGTAGGCACAGAGCAGCCTTAACTCGACATGTTCTTATTATAAAGGTGTAAAAATGGTATTTCTTGGTTAGATCCTCACTTATCTCCTTGGGGAGAAAACCCTCATGCCAAATTTACACGACAAAGGTAACACAGAAACACTTCAGATGTCTGAAGTATTAACATGGCATTTCCTATGCCAAATTTACACTACAAAGGTGGCACAGAAGCGCTTCTGAAGTGGCATTTATGTGTCTTTACACAGACTGTTTAATGTTGCTCAGAGCTGGCATAAATGCTTTACACAGCAATTATAAATGCATACTTTGATATTAGGGGTTAAGCAGGAAAACTTTAGTCTGGCTTTTATGCAGCATTGTGTTTCTACACTGAATTTTTAGCAGGCACAGAGCAGCCTTAACTCGGCATGTTCATATTCTAAGGTATTATCATGATATTTCTTGGTTAATACCTCACCTGTTCCCCTGAAAAAACACCTATGCCAAATTTACACTACAAAGGTGGCACAGAAGCGCTTCTGAAGTGGCATTTAAGTGTCTTTACACAGACTGTTTAATGCTGCTCAGAGGTGGCATAAATGCATTTACACAACAATTAGAACTGCATATACTTTGATACTAGGGGCTGAACAGGAAAACTTTAGTCTGGCTTTTATGCAGCATTGCATCATTTCACTTTTTTTTTTTTTGAGTAGGCACAGAGAAGCCTTAACTCGACATGTTCTTATTATAAAGGTGTAAAAATTGTATTTCTTGGTTAGATCCTCACTTATCTCCTTGAGGGGAAAACACTCATGCCAAATTTACACCACAAAGGTGGCACAGAAGCGCTTCTGAAGTGGCATTTAGGTCTTTACACAGACTGTTTAATGCTGCTCAGAGCTGGCATAAAATGCTTTACACAGCAATTATAACTGCACACGTTAAGCAGGAAAACTTTAGTCTGGCTTTTATGCAGCATTGTATTTTTCTACACTGAATTTTTTAGCAGGCACAGAGCAGCCTTAACTTGGCATGTTCATATTCTAAGGTATTATCATGATATTTCTTGGTTAATGCCTCACCTATTCCCCTAAAAAAAAAACACCTATGCCAAATTTACACCACAAAGGTGGCATAGAAGCGCTTCTGAAGTGGCATTTAGGTGTCTTTACACAGACTGTTTAATGCTGCTCAGAGCTGGCATAAAATGCTTTACACAGCAATTATAACTGCACACGTTAAGCAGGAAAACTTTAGTCTGGCTTTTATGCAGCATTGTGTTTTTCTACACTGAATTTTTTAGCAGGCACAGAGCAGCCTTAACTTGGCATGTTCATATTCTAAGGTATTATCATGATATTTCTTGGTTAATGCCTCACCTATTCCCCTAAAAAAAAAACACCTATGCCAAATTTACACCACAAAGGTGGCATAGAAGCGCTTCTGAAGTGGCATTTAGGTGTCTTTACACAGACAGTTTAATGTTGCTCAGAGGTGGCATAAATGCATTTACACAGCAATTAGAACTGCATATACTTTGATACTAGAGGCTGAGCAGGAATACTTTAGTCTGGCTTTTACACAGCATTGGACCTTTACACTTTATTTTGAGCAGGCACAGAGCAGCCTTAATTCAGTTGTGTTAAGATGCTTCTAGAAATAAATCTGACTGACACAGACAAGAATTTGAACAAACTCTTAAAATTTTATTGTTTGTTAAAAATTATATTGCAGTACAATATATTCCTTCTGTTAAATGTAGAAAACGTCCAGAATGAGTCAAAAGGCACATTTGTTTACACTATTTACAGATCCATCTAAACTCATAAATATTGGGGAAAAAACAAAGAAGCTCAAAGTAAAAGTGCTGAACAGAATTCTAACTGGAAACATTAATAATATAACAATAATAATATCAACAACAACGATACATACAATCAGTAGCAGTTTTAATAAATGTTTTGTTTTTATTATTAAAGTGTTCACTTGTGATTTCTTTGTACTCGGGCAGCAGATGAAACACGGCGGGTAAAACACATCTGCAAGGTTTTTACACACAAAAATGTTTAAACTAGTAACTGGAGCCAATCACAGTCTCATGGGAACTGGATTTCATGGTTTTTGTTCATATTACCAATCCAGTTTTGAAACTGCTTGCATAAAAATAAAAACAAAAACCATATCAAAAGCAGAGAACTTGTAGTAATACTCGAGGTTTATTCCTAAATTCGCATTTTCTCTCATATACTTCAAGTCTAGAATATGGTAGCCAGGCCTGTAAAATACAGTAGTCAGTATCACACGTCTTTATCTGCGACGCCGCATTATTTCCCTCGACTTTTCCTGAGATTTAGCACGACTGTACGGAGCCTGCAAAAACTGCACAGAAAACTTTGGTGCAATGGGAATCTAGACGCCCGACCCAAAACAGAAAACTGAAATTTCGAGTAAAGGAATAAGTAACACGTAGATGCTGGAGAGCAGCGCAGGGCAGTGCAGTTCGATTTGGTGGCAGGTTGCAGGCTTTGATTCTGTGTTTTGGGAGCAGGAGAAATCAAACTCTGACAAGGCATTGGAAAAGTGTTTCAACTTCTACATGTCATTATAACAAAGTCTACCGCTACTAATAATGTCCCTTGGATATAAATAGCAACAATAATAATAGTATTAATAACAATAATAATAATAATACGAACAGCAATAGCAAAGACGCCAATACATTTGCTTCCATTCCAACTACACGAGAATACAAGACCAAAGGAAAAAAACATTGACCTCATACAAATAAACAAACAGACAAATCCGTTACTTTCTCTTAAGGCATATAATATTCTTCGAACACGAAGTTCGAACTTCGAAATTAAAAAATATCACTTCTGAACAGATATAAAGAGAATCGCGAGTTGTTCGTGGGGCAGTATTTGATTTTTGTAATATTCGTTTGGTTTTTATTGCTAAGTCTCACTCTCGCTCGATAGAAAGCCATCTCGACGTGAGGTCCAGTGGTTCAGCGCATGTTTACAAATAAGTCTGCTAATAAATAATTTGGTAATCGATTCCCAAAGCTCACGACGATCCATCCGCAATGTATTATATTTTATAAAACAATTATTTGTTTGGACAGTGATGAGTCTATATGATACCTGAGAAAGTATTCTGCAGAAAGCGATCTGCTCATGAGCGCCGCCATCACTGTATCGTGAACGAATCTGTCCCTGTGTTCAGATTACTGAAATGTAGAAAGAAAACGAGGAATTCACAGGGTTAAGGGGTCAAACAGCAGTTTCAGAATCATGCGATCGGGTCCGTACGCCCCTATGAAAAAGCACAGAACTCTGGGTAGAGGAGACTGACACCAGAGGAAATAAATAATATAACACTACTCTGTCTAGAAATATATATATATATATATATATACGCACACAAGACTGCATCTGAAGGAGATAAAGGCACCGATTTAACAGAAGGCATTCATTCGAAAAGATAAACTCCCTTGGACAGGAAACAGTATACACCAATATCTTAATAAATAAACATCTCTTTTACCTCAATGTCTGCTGTGATGAAATGGTGGGTGGAAAAGCCCTATTGCTTCAAATAAGGCAAACCCATTTGATTTCAAGTCTTCATTGATCGTCAACGAACCGAACGCAACTCTTAGCTTATGGACTGAGAATGACTTGGGAAAGAACTCAAAAGTCTTGCCGAGAATGAATTTCTGACCGTGTATGTTTGAGCCTCTAGGTGGCGTCCCAGTCCATTGTTTTGAACTGGATGACGGACTGGCGGTGATCCGAGGGTGTTCTGTGGATCATGTGATCCAGCGTCTCCAGGGCGTCCATACTGCTGTGGCCATTTGGTAACAGATGCGTCTGTTCGGAGGAAGAGGACGATGGCGTGAAGTGTGAGGAGGAGGAGCTAGAGTCCGAGAGGGAGGAGTTTGTAGGCGCTGACGCAAAGAGGGAGGAGGAGTAAGGAGGAGGGGGCGGAGTCGAGGATGGCAGGGCTTGAGAGGAGAACGGGTACTGATGTTGCGATTCAGGCGAGGGGTAACCGAAGTCCAAGTTGTCGAAATCAAACTCATTGTTCGTTCTTTCTGTAGCAGGCTGAGTGACATGTGATTGCATGGCTTGGGGTTGCGATGGCAGGGGTTGTGACGGTAGGGATTGCGACTGCGCATGTTCGCTCGTATGTTGTTTCGACAGCTGCGCATGCATGCCGAGCAAGTGTGCGTTCGAAGTGTGCGTCATGCGTTGACTGTTCTGGTGTAGCATAGTGCGCGAGGACTGCGGCGACACGCCATTTTGCTGTTGCATTTGCGTGAGAAGCCGCAGCACGAGCGATGTGTCTTGCCCTCGCTGCAGCTGCGACAGAAGCACGCGGTACTGCTCGGGCGGTTGTGCGTGTGAGCCGCTCTGCTGCTGCTGCTGTGTTAGCACCCCAAACGACGAATGATTCTGCTTTAGTGTGTGAACGTGCTGCTGCGGGACGTTCAAAGTGGCATGCGACGACGACATGCGCACGTTCGGGTTCAACGCCACCTGCCTGTGTCTCTGCTGCTCCTGGGAGATCAAATCTTCCAAGTTGTACGTCTCGGGAACAACCGCGCACGGGCGTCCTCTCGCGCCTAGCATGCCTCCGTGTAGGGACACGCCGTTTAGGTCTGGCACAGGCGTTTTGATGTCTGGCGATGGGCAGGGGCTGATGGTAAGATCCAAGACCTCGCTGACGGCCTCGCTCTTTGGCTTCACCGCAGGCGGCAGAAGGGATCGTGGGTAGTGAAGGTGGTTCTGAAGGGAGGGGGGAGGGTTTGCGATGATCATCTTGGCCAGCATCTCTTGGCGCATACGCTGCTCATTTGCTAACTGCTCTCTCTCCCGCCGCGCTTTCTTCACCTCCTCGTCCATCCGAGATAGCTCAGCGCGCACGCGGGACACGCAGTTCTCTGGGATTTTTATACCTGAGACACACACATGATTGTTATTTTCGTCTTGAGTAGAGATAAACGGACATATAAAGGTCCGTTCATACCAAGAACAATAATTATATGTGACCCTGCAGCACAAAACCAGTCTTAAGTCGCTGGGGTATATTTGTAGCAATAGCCAAAAATACATTGTATGGGTCAAAATTATTGATTTTTCTTTTATGCCAAAAATCATTAGGATAAATACCATGTTCCATGAAGATATTTTGTAAATTCCCTACTGTAAATATATTAAAACTTAATTTTTGATTGGTAACATGCATTGCTATGGACTTCATTTGGACAACTTTAAAGGCAATTTTCCCAATATTTAGATTTTTTTTGCACCCTCAGATTCCAGATTTTCAAATAGTTGTATCTCGGCCAAATATTGTCCTATCCTAATAAACCATACATCAATGGAAAGCTTATTTATGTGACGTATAAATCTCAATTTTGAAAAATTGACACTTTTGACTGGTTTTGTGGTCCAGGGTCACATATTAGTGTCAACACCAAAGCACAATAACATTGTTTATTCAAAGCGCATGCTGCAGTATCGTCGTCTGCCACTATAAATGCACAAGCTCTTTAAAGTCAGGTGGATTCAGATTGGCTAAAAAACATGAAAGTGTTCCTATGTGCCGTTATTGCTACAGCGGTGTTGGGACTCTGCTATTTGATTTTTAAAGCTGTATCATTGTCGTCCTTGGTGTGAACGGCCTTACCTCTCAATTGTGATAATCAATACTCATGACAAGACGAGTTTTAGGATAAATCTGGGATATTCATTGCTAGTAGGGCTGGGACAATAAATCGATGCATCGCGAATCGAGACATGATTCTGCATTGAATCTGAGATTTTCCGAAAGCATCGCGCTTCTCTCTGGAATCGATTCTGAGCTCAGTTTTTAACAGCAGATGGCACTGTGTGCTTTAGAAATAGCTGTATTCTGTTTGCTTCCAGTTCCTTACACACGCACCACTTGAACCTAAAATAAGTATTCATAAAGTTCGAAAAGGTTGAAGCGAATTACAAGGATGTTTACAGTGGGCTGTGTTTACATTAATCTTGCATCATAAAAGCATAAAAGACGGTGTGCAAATACATTTGACCACTTACATTTCTCTTCCGAACACACAAGCACTCTTCTTCGTGAGCATTTGAGTGTGCGGTTAAAAATGAGCCTAGAGCGCCATCTGCTGTTAAAAACTAAGCTCAGAATCGATTCCAGAGAGAATCACGATGCATTCCGAAAATCTCAGAATCGATCCACCAAACGCGATGCATCGATTTATTGTCCCAGTCCTAATTGCTAGGGCTGCATGATAATGGTTAATCATGATAGAATCATGATTATTGTCATATTCAATTTCTTTTTACATTTTATCAGAATTATTGCATTTTCACATAAGCACAAATCAAGAGAACGCCCATTGGTTTGCTAGCAGATTTAGTCGCAGACCAGCTGTATTTCACTTTTACTTGAGCAAAATACCTCAATAGAGATCGCTAAACTCCAACATAAATGTTTGCCAGTGTTTTCAGCTCATCAGGTTGGGAACGGAACATTAAATACACCACTGGGCAGAAAATGCATCGATTTCAGAAAAAAAGCTCTGATTGGGGGATTTCAAATCTTGACATCTGGCAACCGCAACTATGAAAGCTTGTCGTGGCTTGTTACCAATGCAAAGATAACGCAAACGCCAAATTAAAATGAAACATTTTCAGGATAAATAACCAGCTGGAAAATACTGCAGGTGATTATGCCTAATAAATCGAGAAAAGCAGAAATCGTGATCACGATTAAAATACGATTTATCGTGCAGCCCTATTCACTGCAATAATTAGTTTGCTAGGAAACGGGATTGAGAAGTAACAGATAACAAAACATCAACTCACCAACTTGCTTGCTGTTCTGTTTGGTTTTGAGCCGTACGATCTGCAGGATGCTGGAGTTGGTGATGTCCGAGACGATGTCAGACACTCGTTTCCAGACCCTCAGCAGCGCGCCGCACAACATGTGATACTGCCTGAGACGCATCCCCAGTAAACACTCCTGGCCCTGCTCGATCAGCTTACACTTACCATTCCTACCACAAACACAGACACACAAACACTATTAAGCTGCGGTCACATTTAATGTTACTATGCGAAATCCAGTCATTTCAATGGGAATCAGTGCACTGAACAATTTCGTCTGATTGGACTTCCAGTGGCGAAGAAATTTCCCCATGCAATTTTTGTGTTGGGTTCGGGTTCATTAAACTCTGACACACGAATTTGCAGCACCAACCAAAGCTAAAGAGCCACAATGGACAAGGCGCTCATTCTGGTGGTTTTAACTAAATATAAATTGTTAAATAAAACAAAATCTAAAAATATTGAAAATCACTTTCGGTAACTGAAATAAACCTTAAATACAACAAAATAAAATATGAAATCTAAAAATACTATATAGAAAGGCATAGGAAAAAAACGTTACTTAGAAGTTCTAACTAATACCCGTTTAAGTTATTTATTAAATTATTACATTTATTTATTACAAATACCAAAACTCAGATATAAATTAAAGCTAAATATAAATATTTAAAAATGAAGGACAAAAGCACATAAAATGACTAAAACTTTGTTTACTTAAAAAATGGTCATCTTACTATTAACTAAAACTAAATCTAAAACTACTGAAAACTTTTTTGGTTAACTTAAATTAAAATTAAAACGGAACATTTGCAAACAAAAAATGTTATAATGGTATAAAAATAATACTAAAATACACAGTTTTGTTTCACACTACACCATTAATATTATAAAATCATCCATAAAAAGAAGCTGTTTGGAAAGCAAACCGGTTTGGTTCATTTGCTAGCTGGCAGAATAGCTTTGGATGTTTATTTTGTCATCATTATCACCTGTGAAATCTTGCAGAGCAACAGTAATTGTGACCACACCTTTAAACACACACACACACACACACACACTTATTCAATCAGTTTACAGAGTTGTATTATAGTAGATTCTTAGCTATTTGTGCAAATTACAACATAAAGTGAAAAATATTTAAATACATTGTCAAAAACAAAAAGTATCAGTGTCAGCAGGGTCAGAGTCTCTACTGATCGCTCGCTCACACACACACACACACACACACTCACACACACACACACACACACACTCACCAGTTGGCATGTGTGCAGCTGGTGAAAGAAAAGACAAACTGACTCTCCCAGAAATCCTTTGCTTCATCAGGTGTCACCTTCAGAGCGGGAAGAAAAACACTTGTATGAACGTGTTTTCATCAGAGCATTTAGTGTGAACCTGGACTGGTAGCAAAAAAGCCATCAAAAGTGGCAAAAACGCTTTTCATTATAACATTTCATGTTTACATTATCATATTTTAGGGCTTGCTATGCGTTTGATGCAGTCTGATATCCGTATTCACTCACTCAAGAGGAGAATGAATGAGTTATGAAGTGGTTTTTGATAAAAAAAATAATAATAAGTCAACTCTGAAAACACTCCCAGCAACTCTAAACTTGGATTGTATTAAACCACGATCTCGACTGAACTCAAGACCAAAAAGTCAAACCAACTCTTACATTCAAACACACAAGTGTGTTCCTGACAGACCCGCTCTCTACCACTGGATGTCACTGTGCGACGAGAGCTCTGCGTAAGGCTTAACATCATATCAATGTGTGTGAGCTGTAGGGACTCTGGCAGTGCCTGATGGGTTTTGCGTGTTGTACCTTGTAGTATCTCAGGAACAGGTTGTCCAGGTTCTCAGGATGAACCTGTTTGCCGATGTTGGGTTTATATAGGATGAGATTACGACCCCGACCCTGTTCGGCGAGCAGGACACACGGCTGATTCCCGCGCAGCTGAACACACAAACACACATATATGACCCTGGACCACAAAACCAGTCTTAAGTCGCTGGGGTATATTTGTAGCAATAGCCAAAAATGCATTGTATGGGTCAAAATGATAGATTTTTCTTCTATGCCAAAAATCCTTAAGATATTAAGTAAAGATCATGTTCCATGAAGATATTTTGTAAATTTCCTACTGTAAATATATCAAAACTTAATTTTTGATTAGTAATATGCATTGCTAAGAACTTCATTTGGACAACTTTAAAGGCGATTTTCTCAATATTTAGATTTTTTTTGCACCGTCAGATTCCAGATTTTCTCAGCCAAATATTGTCCTATCCTAACAAACCATACATCAGTGGAAAGCTTATTTATTCAGCTTTTTTAGATAATGTATAAATCTCAATTTTGAAAAATTGACACTTATGACTGGTTTTGTGGTCCAGGGTCACATATATGGTAAAAACATACTCAAAGACGGTAATTTGGCATTTGGATGATTTCGACTGCGTAAACACAGCAAGCGTGATTTATCGTCAGACATCAGTGTGTGATGATGCGTCGTGTACCTTGTTTGAGAGGAAAAAACCTTCATATTCTCCAGTGAGTTTCTCTGCTTTACTGCGGGCCTCTTCCCAGGGCATCCCGCGATCCACACTGATCTGAAAACAGCCACAACACAAACTCAGGACATTTAGAAAATTCCAAAATAAATAAATAAAAGAAGTAAAAAATAATAATAATAGATATATATATATATATATATATATATATATATATGTATATATAACTAAAATACATGTAAAATAAAATAAAAAATAAAATAAATGATTTATTAGGCTATCTGCAGGACCTGCACAAATAAAATTAATACCATATGAGCGGGGTAGAGCAATGTCTATGATAACACAGTTCAGATACAGGTTTTCACAAAAACAAAGTTTATAAAAATGATAAACTTCACATTTCAGCCTTTAAACTATTATTAAGAGTCAAAAGTATAAATTATAATATTAATTTAATATTTAGTAGTATTATTGATTTGACTTAGGGCTGAATGATTAATTGAAATAAAACAAAAATCACAATATGGTTTTGTGCGATTACTAATTCACAAAGGCCATGACTTAAATAAATAAATATATGCACTTCATGTTTCAGAGTGAAGCGGCACTGCACATTTAGTTTATGGTTTAGTTTAGTTTGAGTTTATATTACAATAATTACAATATTAAAATAATAACAATAAAAGAGTTTGTATTACAATAACATTTCTTATTTTGTTTTTATTTAGTAATTTTAGTTTTTATTGAGTTGTCATTATTATTTTATTAACATATTTCATATTTATGTATTCACAAAATGTTGGCTAAATTGTGCAGCCCTAGTACAATATGAATATCTATTTCGTTTTTTTTTGTAAATATATATTATTTAGTAGTAGTAATAATAATAATTATTATTATCTTTATTATCTATAGACATAATATAATCACAACATGAACTATTATTATTATTATTATAATATAGCCAGGATTTGTTCTTTTTTAAGCAATTATTTTCAATTATTATATAATATTAAATAACATTTAAATATATTTTACAGTCTTAATTGTTTAGATTTTTATAATGCATTATCTTCTTGCTGACAAGCACAACTCTGTGTGTTTGCGGCGTAAAACATGGGTTGATTTTCACATTGGTCTGAACTAAAACAGCAGACGGGCTGATCGAAAATGCACATTCATTCTCTGCCAGTAGGAGGCGCTTTAAGAACGGCAGAAATACAGCGGTTACTTGGTAATCGCTACACAAAGCAGCGCAGCAGCTGACTTTCAATCGTGCAGCGCTCATATTTATTCAATGAAATCACGGCCTTTTGAAGTTTAATCGTTACATTAAGCCGTATTGCAATTCTTGTATTTCTGTCCCCAAATGTAAGACCTCTTGAAATCATAATTAAGACTTTCTTGCACCATTGAGGACTTGTTATGGCCTTAAATTTGATTGAACAAAATTGAAGACTTATTAAGGACCCGCGGAAACCCTGTTAACATACAGTATATTAAATAAACTTATATATAAAAGCCAGTCAGTAAGATTTTTTAAAAAATGTGTTTCAAAGTCTCTTCTGCTCACCAAGGCTACATTTATTTGGTAATTTCTGTCCCCAAATGTAAGACCTCTTGAAATCATAATTAAGACTTTCTTGCACCATTGAGGTCTTGTTATGGCCTTAAATTTGATTGAACAAAATTGAAGACTTATTAAGGACCCGCGGAAACCCTGTTAACATACAGTATATTAAATAAACTTATATATAAAAGCCAGTCAGTAAGATTTTTTAAAAAATGTGTTTCAAAGTCTCTTCTGCTCACCAAGGCTACATTTATTTGGTAAAATAATGTCATAAAAACAGTAATATTGTGAAATAATATAATTTGAAACAACGGTTTTCTATGTGAATATGTTCAAAATATGAATTTTCAGCATCATTACTCCAGTCTTCAGTGTCACATGATCTTCAGAAATCATTCTAATATGCTGATTTGCTGCTCGAGAAACATTTCTGATTATTATCAATGTTGAAAACGTTTGTGCTGCACAATATTTTTGTGGAAACTGTGATATATTTTATTTTTCAAGATTCACAGATGAATAGAAAGTTTAAAAGAACAGCATTTATTTGAAATAGAAATCTTTTGTAACATTATAAAGGTTTTACTGCCACTTTTAATTAATGCATGCTTGCCGAATAAAAGTATTAATATCCTCATTTTCCTGACATGTACCTTATAGAGCATGACCTGGCCCTCCTGAGGGTTTCCTGGAGTTAGAAACTTCTCCTGTGTTTCCTCGTGAATCTCATCATTACCAGGAGCAAGATCTGAACACACAGAATATGACAACATTAATCTCAGACACACATACAGCTCATCTACTGCTGTGAAAACATACCAGACCCACGCAAATATAACGGCACTATTCCGCATTACATAGATTCCTCACCCAATATTCCCATGTCATATTTTCCCTCTTTTTTATCCTTGTTGATCAGGTAGTCAAAGTTATCGGTGAAATACTGGAACAGAGAGTTCTGATGATGGACCTCCATACCCAAAATACGGTTCAGAAACTTAGTGATGGTGCAGTCTGGGATATGGGACAAAAGAAAGGCAATTAGCCACCTGGTTTGCATGTAACTAACTTGCATGAAATCAATGCATTTCTTAAATACAAACCTTTCTACATGCAAATGTAACGTAACTAACAGGAAAGCACTCCACTCACAGAAATTACATCAGTAACACATAACCAGATCAAATGTACATTATCCATAGACATTTTGAATCTGACACACCAATAATATGAAAATGGGCAAATATCAGCAGAGATACATTTTTATCACTTACATAAATATGCTCAAGCAGAAGTATCGCTGCACTTATCATACGAAACACAGAGATGATCATTAAATCTTTATAATCAGATCATTGTGCTGCTGTTGTATTACATTTACCTTTCTCTGTATTCTGACTTGGACGCGGCTCCTTACAGAAGATTCCCACATCAATCATGCCATTCTTCATATCTGGCACACACACATATAAATATTAAAATCAGTGCACACAAAAATTGCACCATCATGCTCTTCTGCATGTGCTTGAACACAATAGTAAGCAACATTAGGATTAGTGTGTCTTAAATCAGACTATGCAGACTGCGTGGATTTACGTGGATTAACTGCAGAACTGTAGTATTTTGGTAGAAATGTTAAACTAAATATTATATTAACATATTACATTTTAATAAAGGTACACTACCATTTGGGGTTGGTAACTTTATGTTAAGTTTTAAAATGAGGTCTCTTCTGCTCACCAAGGCTGCATTTATTTGATCAAACATACAGTAAATACAGTAATATTGTGAAATAAATAATAGCTGTTTTCAATGTGAATATCTGTTCAACTAATTTATTTCTGTGATGCGCAGCTGTATTTTCAGCATCATTACTCCAGTCTTCAGTGTCACATGATCTTCAGAAATCAGTATAATATGCTGATCTGCTGCTCGAGAAACATTTCTGATTATTATCCATGTCGAAGACAGTTGTGCTGCACAATATTTTTGTGATACAAGTTATTTTTCAGGATTCTTTGATGAATAGAAAGTTTAAAAAGAACATTGTTTATTTGAAACAGAAATCTTTTGCAACATTATAAATGTCTTTACTGTCACTTTTGATCAAATTGGCATAAGCTGCATTACTGAAGCACATCAGAACAGATGACATTACCTTTGAAGAATATGATGTCCCCTCCTGGGTAGCTCATCGGTGGAGGGACTTTGTTGTCGATTTGCCTGAGGATGGCTTTAGTGATCTTATCCAACGCTTTGGTGCCGTACTAAGACAGACAGATAAAAAAAGATTTAAAAAATGGTTAAATTCCTTGGTTCAAATTTAGATTTTACCCTCACTGGTCTCTTTTCACACTGTATTTGTGGGACTGTGTGTGGTACATATGCAATATGGGAATCAGCATGAAAAGATTTCATCCAACTGTGAAACACATTGCAGTTCATGTGTTTCTTCCGAGTTTAGAAAAGGTCAACCAAACTAATCGAAGTCTTAAGTCAAATGAGGTTATGTCCAGTCCAGTGTGTTGTTATTGTTAACTAAAGCCAAGCCTAAAACTATTAAACTTTTTATTTTATAAATAAAGCTACATTTAGATTTTTTTATTAGATGAAGAAAAAAAAACAACAACTAATAAATAACTTCTAAAATAATAATAAAAATGAATTAAAAATATATATGGAAATTTAAAAAA